TAATTGCTTGCATCTAAATATAAAACGGTTTTTCAAAAAACATTGATAGAATGAAGGGGTTTTGACATATGACCAAGCAATTAATATAACAAAATTATTGCAATATTTCGAACTATAACAATGTTAATAAATCCACTAATTTCCTTTATATTATATCATATTATATTTCGAAATATTTATGTTTGTTAATAAGTACCCTTTTTATCATTTAGTTGCGCTAATAATCATTAGATTATCGAACACACAAGCTCTTATTTTTGAAATTTTTCTATTTTTTTTTCATCTGTGCATGTTATTAAGAAAAATTTCATTATTGCAAAAATACATTGTAGCTAATTTAACTTAAAACTGAATGAAATAGAGCTTTAATATTTAGCATCCTTATGCAATAAATTTCCTTATTTATACAAAACCAAGCTCTATAAAAGCTAAAATTGTGAATCAAATTAAGTGGAAATTATTACAATTCAACACTAGAGTGAGGTGAATATTAGTTTATATCAGGTCATTTAACCTAAAAGTAAAGTGTAGCGAATAGGGAGAGGCTTTTAATTTTCTGATAGAAAAGATTTAATCCCAAATAAAGCAAATTTACGTCACAATTAAATCTTATCTATTTGAGTCAATTAATGGTAGGTATTTGATACAGCTGAGAATCACCCTATAAATACCTCCAATCTTACCACATCCAGCACTATCTCTCTGCTTTATTCACTAAATTATAAGTATGGTCGACACAATTGAAGATATTATCTCACCTTTAAGAGATTGGAACACTGGGACAAAAGCCGATTTACCTCCTGCACCTAAGAAAGAAGATCTCCCAAAGGAAGAAATCGTTGACAGAGGTGCTCTTAACTACACCCACGTTAAGGAAAAACTCCACGAGTACTTTGAGCATTCTGAACTCCCTAGAGGTAGTGGTAATGATTCTACCTATAACTTTGAGGATAAGGAGAGTACCTTTAAACTAATTTGCTCTGAAATTATCTAAACTTTCTTAACCCCATAGTCTCCTCTTTTTGTATTTTTTATTTTTTCACTCTCACTTTGTATACTATACTCTTTCTTACTCTTGAATCTTTTTGAATATGCTTGTTACTTAAATTTTCAAATAAAACACACATTTATTTTTATTACTATACAAAAAGCTTTGTCTATTCACTTTTTATAACCTTTATACTCCATGTTATAGTTATCTTATACTATTTTCAAGCATATTTTTAACCGTAATTATTATTCCCTTTTATATATCATACACAGGTAAAAGTTATTACATATAGGCTTTAAACTAAATATTAACTGAATAATGGTATTCTTGCATATCTATAAATAAGCTCTTTACCAAGGTGAATTTTAAAAATTTCATCCAGGGTCCTATTTAAAGCACGCCATAAATTTATGCAACTTTGTCTTGTAGATCATTATACTAAAACCACGTTAATAATAGCATTATTTTGCCTAATATTAAGTTATTTCTCTCTTTTTTGGTTAATTTAAAAAACTATTTAATATAATATTATTGCTTAATATTAGAACGTATAATTTTTATTACAATATAAAACTTTAAATTAAATTATTAAATAATCACCTGTTTATTTTAAATAGATTATAATACTATTTATAATAGTTAATATACAATTACTGTTTAGTATTTTACTTTAATAGTTTTAAAGTAGATACTTAAAGTCCTTGAATAAAGGATAAGAATTGAAATGGATTTTATATAAATTATATATTTAAACGTATATAAATTTAAAAATCTAAAGTAATAAAGTTTATACATAATAAATTACAACAATATAATTTATCAATATGAAAATGATTTAATTAATAATATTATTAAGGTATTATTGCTAGTATATGTTTATTTTTAATAATTAATAAACTAATATAGCAATTCTATAACTATAATATAATAAGCCAGCAGGTTGATCGCTGAAAGTTATAGCTGTGTGAGATTATAGTTATATAGGTGTATTTTTATTAATGTTATATTTGATTTATATATATTCTATGGTATTATAGCATTGTTTCAATTGATTAATATTTTAAACTGGTAATTGTAATATAGGCTTATTAGTTATTCTTGTTTAGTTTAGCTAAAGCGCTCTACTAGATTACTTAAATTTTTAATTTATATACAATATACACTGTTGCAAAAAGTATAAAATATTAACTGTAATAAATATAACTAGGATAGCAAACAAGTTTAGTGATATTTAATAGATTCATTTACATGTTGGAATAGTGTTAAGAGCACGATTTTATTATGAGATATAATATTCTAATTCCAGATATTTCTGAATATACCTAAATGAATCTCATTTAAGTTATCGCTATATTTGATCATTTCATCATTTGGCGCTAAACCTTTAGCCAATACCAAACTATCAGACTATAACATTATACTCAATGGCTCAACTGTATTTTTGAAGCGACCTCAGTATATGTGATAATTATATTAATGTTTATTAAATTATATTTTATCTATACTTAATAATAATATTAACATGAGCAGATCTATTAATGAAGAGAAATTATTTTTTTGCATTAACAACATCGATAAAGCCCTTGATGGAGTAAATAGTTCCAAGTACAAAACTGACAGCTCCAACGATCAAAATAATGGCCATCCAGATGTATACCCAGAGCTTTCTACCTCTCCAGCCAAAGATCTTTAAGTGGAAGATAACAGGGAAAATGAATAAACTTAAGCTACTACTGATACTTCCGATTAAGTTCATGAATTGGGCGAAGTAGGGTAAGAAAGCAGATAATACGGTGATAAGTACAATGGTGATGAATCTGGTAAGGAGTCTGTAACCAAGTTCCTTCCACTTAGACATGTGTTCGAGACTGATTTTCAAGTTTTGTTCAACTTCATTACCGAAGGAACAGAGGAGAATAGGAGCAGCCATAATAATGTGGATATTGATAGCAACTTGAGAAGCAATCTTTAAGGGGGTGTTGGGTAAACTATCAAAGATAGGGTTTTTAACTTCTGGACCAAATGCAACATAGCCGAAAATAGCCATTAAAGCGTATTGTAAAGTAATAGTAGCAATAGCGCAAGTTAAGACCATTGGCCATTGTTTAGGCTTTTCCATACTATCTTCAACGTGAGCGAAAACAACATTACCAGCGTATGATAAACAGAAAGTACTCAAGGCTGATGGGATGCCAGACCAAATAACAACATCGGTAGCTGGGGCAGGGTTGTTGGCTAACTGTTGGGAACCGAAGACTAATACAGCAACAACAGCAAAAACGGTTGTTAACATACCAAATAAGCCTAAGAATACTAATTCTTTCATGCTCTTAAAGACTAAGTATGGGATACCAATAGCAACAGCAGAAATGAAAACCCTAAATTATGTTATTAGAATAAGTTTAATAAAAAATAGAGCCAAAGCTTACCAAGCCATTTTACCAAGATCTGTATTAGCATAGGTTATTAAAATTCCGTTCATATTATCAGCGAATAAAATAAGTAAAATACAGGAAGCACCCAAGATCAAACTATAGTTAGCAAATTTAACCAAATAACGACCAATTTTACCGAAGGCTCTATCACCAATATCGGTGAAAGTGGGTAATTTGGAGCCATCTTCCAAGTAAATACATTCAATCAAAAGTCTACCATTATAAATAGAGGCTAAACCGGCTAAGAAAATAAAAATAAGGGAGATCCAGCCCCCTGCGGCTAAGCACTGGGATAGACCTAAAATTCCTACACCTGCTGTAACGCATACAATATTAACATAAGCTCCAAAACTAGAGGATTTTCCGTGTTCACCCCCGTGACCTTGATCTAAAATAATTTGTTAATAAAATCGTTGATTGATTGATTAAAAGTGAAGTTTATTACCACCATGACTCTTTTCTGAACCCATTCTACAGATCTATATCAGAAGTGAGTTTAATTAAACTCTTATTGTTTTTATTTATTAAAAAATAATAATAAGCAACTTTCCGTTCCATAGCCTTCTTTTTATAGGATTTAGTTGCACAAGAGTGAATTTGAGCTCCAGTTGTGATTAGTTTTTGGCAAATAGTCTAGAGTTAATCAGGTAGGGGAGGGATGAGAATTATTGTACTCAATGAACGGATTTAATAATACGTAACTTACTATTTTGTCCAACTATAGAGTGTTTAGTTGGCTTATTTCGGATAACTTTATTGAGCTTCGATAATATCACCTTAAAACATGTTACACAGATGTACTAAATAGCATCTTCTTTAATGGATAATTTTTTGGATTTTATTAAATCCCCCCAACTTGTAAAGCGAATTTGCTCATCAACTAGTGAAGATTTTATTTTTTACTTCTTGGTGGCAAAGTACACTTTAGGCATGTGAGTTAACTATTAACTTATTTAGAAATACTGACTTCTGGGTAGAAAGAGTATGACGCTGTATGACTATGGCTTCAGCGCTTATTCACTAAATACACTAAAATTCCTACTAATTATATATTCTTTTTCCGGGTAAAATTCTCATAATTTACAATATATAGAAAAATTCTACACGGTCAAATATACAGCCCTTAGTTATTGTTAAATTAAGTCTCACTTTCTCAGTTATTATACAAAATTATTACACCCTTGGAAGTAATAATATCTTAAGCTGCTTTTTCACTATAATTGTTAGACTTTTAAGCTCCAAAGATTTTCCGAAACTATAGCTGACATAGTTTTATAAAACAAAATAAAAACAATATGCCACAAGAAGTCAAGTTAATTTCAAAATTACTTATATGAAATGTTGTATTTATGCATGTTATTCAAACTTTTTATAAATTGAGAACTGTACCACTCAACTCAAAAATTGGTTAATTAAATATTTTTCGATTGCTAATTTTGATTAATTAAGCAAGATTGCTTAAATTAAAGTGACATTGCAATAGAGTATTAATTGAATAGTATAAATAAGCCCATATTATTATATTGAAGCTATCATTTGGTGGAAAATTTTACAAGAAAAAACAAAAGATGATCAGGTCTCACTGAGAATCGAACTCAGATTACAGGAATCAGAATCCTGGGTGCTGACCATTACACCATGAGACCTTGCGGGAATGCCAATAAAATGTATTTTCATTTTATATTTGATAGTATTTAAGCCCAGATAATGCTTAATTATGAGTCATTATGCCTAACACACCGGGCTTTCCCTCTTTTTGTATTACTTAACGATCGCTTTTATACAATACTCCGAATTTTCTAAATTAATATCGTGATCCAACTTCTTAATTATAGATTTTTATTAATTTTGAATTTTTATTTAATAATAGCTCAGTGACATATGCATACATATTAAAGCATATATATTCGACTATACTTTAACCAGTTAGCTTATAAACTATCTTTGTTGAAAAGTATTGAGAAAAATGATGGGATTCTAGATGGACACTGGCTAAAAATATTTTCATTTTCGTGTACTACAAAACTACTGGATTTTCACTTATCTTTAACCCTCCTTAGTATTTTTACTGTTTTAAATTTTTTATAAGTATCAGATCTAACGTTGTTACCGCTAATAGAATATAATTTATGGATAGTTTTCTAGATCAAAAGAATTTTTTAGATATTAAGCTATACTAATAGAGAAATAATTGCTGATAAAAGCTACACTGATGAGACTATGTGTTCTGTAATGAATATTATTTTTATCAGTTAACAAAAACGACAGTGAATAAATGGTAAAAAGTAGATAATATATATAATATTGAGAAGATTATATAGCTTATTTATCCTCATTCCTCAGTTCTATTATTAGAATTATTGGATAGACTAATCTAAATTAGTTAATAAAATGTTAAAGTATTTGTTTTGAAAATTCATATTTTACATATTAAGAATATGATAATATTTGACAAATGAAAATAATAATTTAACTATCAAATGAGTAATTTCAATAAAAACGTGCATATACTTTTCTGAGCACAGCGCCTATTATAGGTTTGAGAATAAACTTAGCAAGTTAAAAAAGGAATAACAGTGATTATCATTCTATTTCTCGTTCGATATCATAATCGATCTAGATTCTAATAATTCTAAAATGAATATTAGAATACCTAGCCAATTAAATTTGATATAGCTATATTGAATAAAACGTCAATAGTCAAATATCAGCCTTACGAAATTCTATAAGACTTTCTGTAATATATTGAATCAATCAATAGCAAAAACATTGTATTGTTGCTTTTGTAGCATATAGCTTATTTATAAATACCGCTTTGAATTAAATATTTATCTTTTATAGTTAAAGGTGTTTAGATTTAATTGAATTATATGGTCGATGATTTTTGGTTTAAATTGATTATAAATTAATTGTCTCGTATGTAAAAATTTCAAATTTTGTTACATAAAATACTAATTAATATAAGAGTAAAGTGTTAGTTATACTATAAAGAATACCCATAGCTCACTATATATTAGACATAAGTACTAAACCGCTATTATTGATTAGTATTATATTATAAATAAATGCTATTTTATTATACAATATTTACTATTTTATTATTGAACTTTTTTAGATTTTGATTTCTTTTCCTTATTTCTAACCCTCTTCTTAAGAGTGTCCATTTGAGTTCTCAACAAAGGATTTAATTGCTCAAAAAATTTGCTAAAAGCTTCAACAGTAACCTATTTGATAATGAATAAAAAAATATTATAGTATTAGTTAAATGTGCTTACTAGAGTAGTGATTTTGTTCTTTTTATTATCAGTTGCTTTTACTAAAGTTTGGAATAAGCTTTTACTATCTACTTCCATAACATTGGGAGAATTTTTTAATTTTAGTGGAACTAAGCAAGGGATTAGCTTAAATTTATAATTCAATAATGTTTATTTTACCTTGTTTGAAAGATATATTAACACTTCCCTTTTGCTTATTGCTTAAGAATAAGCTTTCTACTTTTTTCAAAAACTATAC